GAAGGGGGGTAAGAAGAACAGGTGGGGGAGTAAGAAGAACAGGTGGGGGAGTAAGACGACCAAGGGGGGAAGTAAGAAGAACACAGGGAGGAGGGGGGTAAGACGAACACAGGGTGTGTGAGGAGAACACATAGAGGGAGGAGTGAGAAGAACACAGGGAGGGTGGAGGGGGGGATGAGAAGAGCACAGGGAGGGTGGGTGAGTGTGAGAAGAGACTGCTAGGGGAGGGTGGGGGAGAGGAGAGACCACTAAGGTGCAGGGGAGAGCTCTACGGGACAGAAGGGGCAGCTCTATAGGACAGGGGCCAAGACAGGGAGCTCTTTCACACTACGCGCGTGCACACACACACAATGCATCCCTATACATACACAGAAACACAACATGCTTCCCTTACACACAGAGAAACACACAATGCATCTATTACACACACACACAATGCAACCCTTACACACAAAGACAATGCATCCTTTGCACACATACACAGAAACACACAATGCAAACCCTTACACACACATGCAAACACACACACTGCTTTTCTTACATACACACAGAAACACAATGCATCTTACACTCAATGCACACACATACAGACACACACCTTGCATCCCTTATGCATACAAACACAGATTCACACAATGCATCCCTTACACACAACCAGAAACACATAATATATCCCTTATACACAAATACACACTGCTTCCACTACACACAAACACACTACATCACCTGCACAAACTGGTAACCCTATACACTACATACCATAAGCACACATATTAGATCCTCTACAATAACACATGACACATCCCCTACACACTCCACTCCCTGTGAGCGAACTCATGGGTGGGTGGAACTTATGAGTGGGCCTTATGGGCATACTCACCGTCAGGCCCTGGGGCCCAGACCTTGAGCTGTGTAAGGGGCCCCAAAAAATGGAGCTGCTTCCAATTCTCCCAGAACATTTAATTTTGTGACCACAGTTGCAAACAGCCTCCAGAGATCCTGTTCTACACCAGACCAGTGGAGCCAAACTGCAGCCCATCATCATCCTCATCTGCTTGTAAGTAGGCGATCTAGTATATTATTAGTGACACTAATCTATAATGTACCTCACATTAAAGGGACACTATAGCTTAATGAAGTGGTTCTGGTGTCTATAGCTGGTCCCTGCAGGCTTTTAATGTAAACACACACTGTGTGCAGCACTGGCGTTAGTTCATATGGGTGGGGCATTGTGATGTCACATGGGGGGGCAGCAAATTTTTATTTTGTCTAGGGCGGCAAAAATCCTTGCACCGGCTCTGATCCTTGGCAGGTGCACCAGTCTACTGGTGACCCACAGGAGGGGAGTGCACTGATTGCACTGCACTCTCCTCCTGCCCAGCCCCATCTTTACTGCAGTGCAAGTGCCCTCTGCCCCTAATTTACAGTGGCTCACACTCACAACAAGCAGTGCCTGGAGCCGTGAAGGAGCGGGTATGGCAAAGAGCTACTGAATAGCATAACATCAATATCCGTTATAAAACCAGGAAAAGGTGGGCATGGATGGTGAACTGATTTTGTGGTGCAATGGGCCACTTGACTGGTTTTGCCCCCCAGGCCTAAGGCTGCCAGCCCTCCCCTGCTCACTGTTGTGGCTGATGGAGGAGGAGCATGTCTCTGTACCATGCTCCCTCGCGGTTCCCGGCACAGGAGAGAGATGGGGAGGAGTGGGGAGAGACACAGGGAAGGGGGGAGAGAGATGGGGAGAGACACAGGGAAAGGGGGAAAGAGAGAGATGGGGGAGAGAGACACAGGAAGGGGGGAGAGGGGGATGAGGGGGGAGAGACAGAGAAAGTTGGGAGAGAGATGGGGAGAGACACAGGGAGGGGGAGAGGGAGAGAGATGGGAGGAGGGGGGAGACACAGGGGAGAGAGATGGGAAGTAAAACACAGGAAAGGGGGGGAGAGAGATGGGGAGACACAGGGAAAGGGGGAGAGAGGATGGGGAGGAGGGGGAGAGACACAGGAAAGGGGGAGAGATGGGGAGGAGGGGGGAGAGACACAGGGAAAGGGGGGGAGAGAGATGGGGAGGAGACACAGGGAAAGGAGGAGAGAGATGGGGAGGAAGGGGTGAGACACAGGGAAAGGAGGGGGAGATAGATGGGGAGGAGGGGGGAAAGACACAGGGAAAGGGGGGGGGAGAGAGATGGGGAGAGACACAGGGAAAGGGGGGAGGGAGAGAGATGGGGAGGAGGGAGAGACACAGGGAAAGGGACACAGGGAAAGGGGGTGAAAGAGGCAGAGGGGAAAGAGAGAGACAAAGAGGGAGAAATGAGAGAGAGACACACAAGGGGAGGGGAAGAAAGAGGCAGAGGGGGAAGAGAGAGACTGGGAAGGAGAGGGGAGACATTGACACAGAGGAGCAGTGAGGGGAAGAAATAAACATACAGAGTGACTGGGGGAGACAAAAAGGCACACAGAGGGGCTGGAGATAAAGAGACACACATAGGGGCAGTATATATCACAAAGCCCCCAAGGCTTTCCCCTGCCGGCCGATCTCCCTCCCCGTTCCACAGGCACCGTGCAGCCAGTCGGCAGGGGAGGAAGAGAGGACCTGGGGCAACGCTCCGGCTCTCACGAGGGTGAACTCTAGCCCTGGAGCTACGGGCTAGAGTTCACTCTCACCACTTCCTGGTGGTCCCAGTAGTAGGAGTGAACTCTAGCCCCATACACATTCACACACTGCCCCCACACACCATACACATTTACACACTGCCCACCCACACACTGAACCTTTCACACACATTGCACCACTGCTCCTATACCCTACTACAGCCCCATATCCCAGCAGACTCCAGGTAAGTTGTCAAACTGTTCTTAAACGGTTTGACGACTTACTCTGGGAGGGGGTGCCGACGCTCCTGGCACCATAACCACTACACAGAGGAGTAGTGGTTATTGTGCATGGAATATTTCTTTAAATAATCTACAAGTGCCCCTCTCAGGCTCAGGCTCTGGATCCGCCATTAGTATATGACATGTATATTAATGTGTGTATTAGTTTTATATCTCTATTATATTTACACATATTAATATACATTTATAAATGCATAATACACAGAGAAATTTCATTAATATGTACCATATGTAATGAGCAGATATTGGCCCAGTCTTGTTGCTAGGTGCATACTCCAGCACAATAACATATTTAAAGTGAAGAGCACACCCACAGGACTTCAAAATAAAAATTTTTTACAGTTGTGCCCTACATACATTCACCATTTCAGTCCCATTAACAAGCTTTCCTTAATATGTCAAGGTAGTTGGACTGAAACATTGATTACATGCAAAGGCACGTCTGCTTAAAATAAATCTGCACTTTTGTTTATTTTGAAGCCTATGAGTGCGCTTTTTACGTTGAAGTACTTTTTAATTTTAAGTTATCTGTTCTAACTCTGTATGTGCACACTATGCTGGCGCGATGCATTATGGGGCTGGTAAATATTTTTTTTCCAGGACTGCTTTTAATTCCCAGTCCGGCCCTGCTAATTGAGCCTGAATTTTGCAATGGAGTTTTCAATTCACTACAGTTCACAGTTTATTGAATAACCCTGTCCATATTCTCTGATGAATAGTGAATTTAGGAAGAGCACTCACAAGTTGTAATATGTGAACAAACCGCACTAGGATTCCGGCTCAGCCACTGCAGTATAGAATCCTGAAATAAGATTCAGATTCTTTGGCCTTAAAGGGACCCTATAGTCACTAGAACCACTATAGTTTAATGTAGTAGTAGTAGTAGTACTGGTGACTATAGCCTAAAGTGCTAGGAAAAAGTTAGATTTCCTGTCACTATAGTTTCCCTTTAACCATGGAGTGATCCAGATGACAGTGACTGTCATCTGAGAAACAAAAAAACGGTTGATTAAAATATAATTTTCATCTAAGCAAACTGTCAGCGTTTCAGTGTGTAGGTGGCCATCTTACAATTGCACCTCAATTTACAGTCCAACAGTGACAGTTACTATTAATAAAACAAGGTAGTAGAGAGCATGTGATATTAGCATCCGATCAAATTTGGGATTTGCACAGAGGCTCCCAACTTTCCACTGGGCAGGAAAGGGTAACCGTAAAGGCTCCTTTAAACTTAACAAGCCCACAATTAAGAGGAATTAATTCTTTATTTTTAGCGTGCTGAACAGAACACAAGATATAGACTGTTTTTGTAGCAGTAGTGTATGATGGTGCGCAGACTATTTCTGACGAATGAGTCGCTTTAAAGCAGGCATCTCAAACTCCAACCAACCCATTTGTGGATGAACTATTGTATACATTTTATATTTCTCTGACCATCTGTTCCATTCAAAGAATTCTAGGAGGTCCGGCGTGAGATCCTTGCTTTAACGTGTACCCGTCATGATATACAGAACGTATATTCATTTAAAACAAATATACAGAATTATTTATACACTGTGCTAGCAGAACTGCTTGTAAATGTATAGAATTTAGTTGCCTAAATTAAACATAAACATCCCAATTCTTGTATTAAGTATTTGGCTAATGTGTAATATAATGTGTCAGTCACCAGTTAATATTATAAAGCAGAGACCCATCCCACTCACTTCAGCCAAGTTTACAATTTCAATAATTATTTGTTCTCAAAATCCAACATTTCTTAATGAATATGAAAAAAATTACTCACTAAACTATGTGAATTGAAAACTCATTATTATTCACTAAAGTGTGAAATGTCAGGAATTCAAATTGAAATTAAAACGTTAGCCTGAAAACATAGCTACATTGAATATTCTGTCTAAAACCTAAAATTCATAGCAATGGATTACATAGTTACATAGCTAAAAACCGACATGCGCGTTCAGCCTCTCACAAATCTGTTTTTGCTGTTTATCCTAAAGAAGACAAAAAAAACCCAAAAAACTTTGAAGCACTAAATTCTTGATCCCAGAATGGCAGTCAGACTTCTCCTTGGATCAAGAAGCCATTACCCCATAATTTAAAAAATGTATATCCCTGAATATTGTTTTTGCAAGTATTCATCCAGTTGCTGTTTAAACATCTGTACAGACGTGATAATGGATAGGATCCAATGTCACGCTTATGTCCCCCAATTTTACTACAGCTGTAAACGGAGTATTACAATAAAAATCACAGAAGCATTGTGGGAAACATATACAACATGGCAGAAGGTGTAAGCTAAAGAAAAATGGGCAAAAAAACAAAAAAAATCAGCTAATGCTTTAACATTAATGGTCTGTATGTAAAAATTGGATACTAGATTGCAGATATTGTCCCTTTAACCTGTGCATTCCATTTTGTCAAAATAAATCACTTCCTTAAAGGCACATGTAATCGATCACAGTGGAAATCTATATTAATCTCTACCCCTGCTACACAACCTCTGTAGCAGCACTAATCTATCACAATAAAATCATAGGTTTTTACATAACAGTATATCTGCAAACCACAGATTACATGCTTTCAGAACATTCCTCCCCTTTCAGACTAGGGAATACACACACACATTAGATAGATTTTATTTATTTATATATATATATAAATACATATTTTCGCAATTACTGGACCAGAAAGAATAACCTGTTCAGTATATAGAACATTAGGTGCCTTGAAAAAAAGGCTCCCTGGATGTAGTCATTAACTTAATTTCATGTATTCGACTACAATACATACTGTATAGCTCAACATCTTGTCTCTCTCATATAGAACACATTCATAGATTTCAAGCAGAGAAATTAATTATTGGTTCTGCCAATTATTAGAGCCGATACAGATGATCAGAAATATGCTAATTATCAGTCTTGTAATTTACCGATATTACCAATAACTTACTATATATAACTTACTATATCTTCCAGTCATTGCATCCTGTCTTCTACATGCAGAAATTCCAGCCGCTGGCCAATGAGGTGCACCCTTATGTCCTCCCTGAATCCCCACATGGGGAGCTCAGATGAAGGCAGAAAGGTGAGAGAGTGAATAATCTACTGAAATGTACTGGGCTAGCTGCCTGGTAGTGATAGGAGCGAGATTGCTGTCATGTTCAGTTAATGCCAAATTTGTGCAGAAATTGTGTTGCTTTTTCAAAACCTTTAATGTTATTAAGCTGCAACAAATGGAAGCCAATGGCAAGCCCTGTATTGTAAAGGAATATCGTCATGTTTTGTTATTTCCTGTAATATAACCTCTTTGTGTATTACTTTTTAATGGATACATATTAAAGTATACTATCTGTAATGTGTTTCCTGGCTGACAGCTGTTCTCTGGGGCAGCCACCTTTAAAACCTCTTTGTCCAAAGCACTTATCTGACCACAGACCATGCACAACTTCAATGAATAACACAGGTTTAGAGTACAATTTTATTGTCAGGTGCTTGTGCATGTCATCAGGATTTGTGAACACATGCTAGCTTTCAGTTACTCATATGGTCTTTGGATAAGTAGCACTTCTGACCAAAGAGCACTTAAAGGGACACTCCAATCCCCTATAGAACTTCACCATACTGAAATGCTTTAAGGGTTATCTGCATGTCGCCTCAGAGTTAAGTTATAAAAGTGTTGAATTCAAGAGACATTCGTTTATGAATTAAAGGACCACTATAGTGCCAGGAAAACATACTCGTTTTCCTGGCACTATAGTGCCCTGAGGGTGCCCCCACCCTCAGGGTCCCCCTTCCGCCCAGCTCTGGAAGGGGGAAAGGGGTAATAACTTACCCTTTTCCAGCGCTGGGCGGGGAGCTCTCCTCCTCTCCTCCTCCGTTTCCGCCCGGCTGAATGCCTTGGCGCATTCGGTCACAGAAGCATTTACAATGCTTTCCTATGGGCGCTAGCGTCTTTCTCACTGTGAAAATCACAGTGAGAAACGCAAGCGCCTCTAGTGGCTGTCAATGAGACAGCCACTAGAGGGAATAGGGGGAAGGCTTAACCCATTCATAATTATAGCAGTTTCTCTGAAACTGCTATAATTATGAAAAAATGGGTTAACCCTAGAAGGACCAGGCACCCAGACCACTTCATTAAGCTGAAGTGGTCTGGGTGCCTAGAGTGGTCCTTTAACTTATCCCTGGCTGCCAGCTAGATAGCCGTGTGGATAAACTGCCTCACTAGGCCTGAACTATTATTCCTCTGCATGTGCCATAGGTCCCTAATACTTCTCAGTAAGGAGAATTGGATTGCACAGAGGTTATCAGTATTGAGGAGCAGGCTGAAGAGCAGAGGCAGTCTCAGCAATGGGAAAAGAGGAGTTTAATATCTATTTATTTTCTAAATGAGAAAAAAGGGGAGGGGAAAGACCAACATTAAAAACAAATGTTTAATGCTGGAGTTTTATACTTCATCTGTTTCCCTCACTTTTCCATGCTGGGCTTTTCCACAAATTTGTCTCTCTTGATCAGCCTATTGCTGTTTTCTAGCAGTCTTTCTGTATTGTGTCCCTTTATCTTGGACTAGGATTCTTAGGTGCTGCCTTATCAGTCACTTTCACCTCCTCTTATCTGTCTATCCTCTCTGTTCTCTCTCCAACCTGTTTTATGTCACTCTCCCAGTCCCTCAATTACCCTCCTCTCAGTGCATCTTGCCTGTCTCAAAGTGAAACATTTCTCGGTCTCTTTGGTCCCCAGTCTAAATATATCTGGCAGTCTCTAAGCTTCTTTTTGTCAATTCTCTGCTCATTTTTTAATTTCTCTCAGAGCTCACTTTATGTCTCTTGTCCTGTTTCTGTCACCCATGATGTCCGTCTATATTAGCCCATTTAACATTTTTTTTTATTTAGTGCTCTTTTATTTCTAAACCCACTCGATTTATTGTTTTCACGTTTCTACCTTTACATAGTGAAGGTGGATGAGGGCTTATTGGCAGTCTAGTGGAGAAAGAGTAGCACTTGAGCATTAGGCCACTTATTTCAATCTCGTTCTGCTCGTGGGGTCTTTAAAGTTGCATTATTAAGACATCCCTCAGATCCTGATACAAGGGAGCAGGGAGAGTACAAATGACCTGGGAAAATGCTTACTATTCTCTTGATGAGCGCGGTGGAGGCAATCAGCCAGTTTGCCTGCTCTGGAGTTTAATCCACAGCCAATGTATGTGTACCTCTAGCCCAACTGCCCCAGCTGACAGCTAATTTGCTATTCTCTGATTGAGCAATAGAAGTATGCGCTAATGTCAAGTTACATATGTTGAACTGTATAATAAGGGTTTCAAGCTCAGATAGTTGAGGCTAATAGAGTCCAATTATTTTTTATGTTTATTTTAGAAAATGCGGTTTAGCAATTGGTACAACCAACATTAGCAGAAAAAGTATTTAGTACGCAGTATTTTTACAGTGAATTCATAGGCTTGTCAAATGCCTCTGTAAAAACAGGTACAAACTAACTTAACAAGGAAATAATCAGATTTTTGTAAAAGATGCCATTGATTAAAATTTACTTCCCAGTGTCCAACTTTGTGCTTTCCTATATAGATTTCTATGGTTGTATCCTTTGCTACCTCCCCTAAAAATGTATTTAACATTCAACCTAGCTTCTAAACTGAACTACTTCTTATCTAGCTGTAATACACAAACACTGATGTTTCAATATCTTGAACACCTTTACAAAACCATGCTTAGTACACACAAAAGAATGTAAGACTCAAAAGTAATTAAAAAAAAAAATTTATTCTCAAATTTTTTACAAAGCCTAAAGAAGATGTATGGCAGCGGAAGATATCCAAAATGCCCAGGGGGAGATACCGAAAACACCCCAGGATGGTACCCCCACCAAACATCAACCCCAAGTTGGAAAAAAAAAAAAACATCAGTTTAAATAAGCACAGGGAGATACTTCTCCTAATACCTCCAGAAAATCGTCATAGGTAGCACTTTCGTTACAGAGTTACCAGCAAGCACGCAAAGGGAAGCACCCATAGGTGTCAGTGCAAAAGACTGAAAATGCATTGAACTAAATGGCACTTAACAGGTAATTGTACAGAAAGGCAACTACCTTAAGACACCATGTTTGTCCTCCCCACTAGATGAGGCCCAACATTTTTCCCTATATCACTAAATAGTTCTAACAAACCCCAAATAGATATCCGGATTCTTGCATCTTGAAAGAATTGTACAAAAAGTAGTCAGCGAAGTTAGTCAGAGAGAACAATCACTTCATCCGGATCACACTGTGTGGAGACATTAGACTGTGGACAAGAGAAAGGAGAACATTTAAAACACGCCAAAGTGTGGCACGCAAAAAAAATAGTCGTGAAAGAGTGAGTCAAGTACACAATGAGTCATGTGAATAAAGATGCCAAAAACAGTGATGGGCAGAGAAGAAAGGGAGGGGGAGAGAATATTAAGACATTGCCATTGGATTCTATATTAAATTACTAGTCAACCTGCCTTAAAAGAAAATTATGTTCTCAGACTCACCATGAGGCGATTATTGACTGGAGAGGAAGGGGATTCTGGGGGGCTACAGGTCACCACCAGGTCTAAAGAAATGTCATGTGTGTTCTCATGGTCACTGGCTGGGTCAGGTGAACTGAGGAGTGATGAATAGTAACTGAGGAGAGAACATTATTCAAAACAAAGAAAAATGTGAGGAGAATGTGACATTGCAATATCATGGCGAGCTTCTCACGCAATTTCCCTCGTGGAATCTTTAAACAGGATGTCCCACACCTTTTTGAGCATATTCTTATTTCAACAATGACATTATACTCTTCTTGCTTGTCTTTTTATCTGCAGTCGCTGACACTACTTAACTACCATTGCTGACATCACTCAACACTTCATCATTCCGGACAATGCTTCAATCTCCAATTCCTCTACTATCCCTGACAATGCTTCAACGTCCAATTCCTCTACCATCCCTGACAATGTGTCAACGTCCAATTCCTCTACCATCCCTGACAATGCTTCAACGTCCAATTCCTCTACCATCCCTGACAATGCTTCAACGTCCAATTCCTCTACCATCCCTGACAATGCTTCAACGTCCAATTCCTCTACCATCCCTGACAATGCTTCAACGTCCAATTCCTCTACCATCCCTGACAATGCTTCAACGTCCAATTCCTCTACCATTCCTGACAATGCTTCAATCTCCAATTCCTCTACCATTCATAACAAAGCTTCAATCCCTCTACCATTAATGACAATGCTTCAGCGTCCAATTCCTCTACCATTCGTGACAATGCTTCAGCGTCCTATTCCTCTACCATTCATGACAATGCTTCAGCGTCCTATTCCTCTACCATTCATGACAATGCTTCAGCGTCCTATTCCTCTACCATTCATGACAATGCTTCAGCGTCCAATTCCTCTACCATTCATGACAATGCTTCAGCGTCCAATTCCTCTACCATTCATGACAATGCTTCAGCATCCAATTCCTCTACCATTCATGACAATGCTTCAGCATCCAATTCCTCTACCATTCATGACAATGCTTCAGCATCCAATTCCTCTACCATTCATGACAATGCTTCACTCTCCAATTCCTCTACCATCCCTGACAATGCTTCAACGTCCAATTCCTCTACCATCCCTGACAATGCTTCAACGTCCAATTCCTCTACCATCCCTGACAATGCTTCAACGTCCAATTCCTCTACCATTCCTGACAATGCTTCAATCTCCAATTCCTCTACCATTCATAACAAAGCTTCAATCCCTCTACCATTAATGACAATGCTTCAGCGTCCAATTCCTCTACCATTCGTGACAATGCTTCAGCGTCCTATTCCTCTACCATTCATGACAATGCTTCAGCGTCCTATTCCTCTACCATTCATGACAATGCTTCAGCGTCCTATTCCTCTACCATTCATGACAATGCTTCAGCGTCCAATTCCTCTACCATTCATGACAATGCTTCAGCGTCCAATTCCTCTACCATTCATGACAATGCTTCAGCATCCAATTCCTCTACCATTCATGACAATGCTTCAGCATCCAATTCCTCTACCATTCATGACAATGCTTCAGCATCCAATTCCTCTACCATTCATGACAATGCTTCACTCTCCAATTCCTCTACCATTCCTGACAATGTTTCAATCCCTCTACCATTCCTGACAATGCTTCAATCTCCAATCCCTCTACCATTCCTGACAATGTTTCAATCCCTCTACCATTCCTGACAATGCTTCAATCTCCAATCCCTCTACCATTCCTGACAATGCTTCAATCTCCAATTCCTCTACCATTCCTGACAATGCTTCAATCTCCAATTCCTCTACCATTCCTGACAATGCTTCAATCTCCACTTCCTCTACCATTCCTGACAATGCTTCAATCTCCACTTCCTCTACCATTCCTGACAATGCTTCAATCTCCACTTCCTCTACCATTCCTGACAATGCTTCAATCTCCAATTCCTCTACCATTCCTGACGATGCTTCAATCTCCAATTCCTCTACCATTCCTGACGATGCTTCAACCTCCAATTCCTCTACCATTCCTGACAATGCTTCAATCTCCAATTCCTCTACCATTCCTGACAATGCTTCAACATCCACTTAACCCACTTTTCCTGACACTGTACACACTAACTCAGAGCAGTTTAACCCGTCACTTCCCATATTCTTGACAGTAATGAACTCCTTCCTTACCAATCTCTCCTTGCTCTCTTGCATTTTTTATCCTTCCTGCTTTCATCCTCATTGCTCCCGTTTAACATGTTCTTCCCATTATTAAGAATAAGTTTTGTAGGGATTTTTTTTCTCTTCCTGGAATGGGGGGTTGAGTCCTTGGTCCTTTCCTTATTTGAAGAATTTTGGTGGCCCTGTCTTTCCGTATGGTTATTTAGGCCATGCGAATCTGTACTGTTTTGCGTTTCTGTATTAACATGAGAAACTCCATTGCTGCTGCCATCATGTGTAGCATCTGTATCCTCATTCCTATCACTCTCAGCCCCGCTGAGGGGACTGTTCGTTGTGGGAGTGTCACCCTTCATGTTATCACATTTCAATACACTCTCAGTATTGGCTGTTCTCTTGTTAAACGTAGGATCCTCAGTTTGCACACTACTCTCCATACATAGTCTTCTTGAGTCTACGCGTCTGCTGTGCTCTTTAGGTTGCTTAACACACGGTCCCTCTGTTTTAATATGTGTGACATTTTGTAGCTGCAGGGTCTTTGCATCTATGTTTTCGGTATCAATAGATATGATATTCTCTGCGAAGGGAGTCTTCTTTTGGATACATGAGCGTCCAGAATCAGATTCAAATGCCTCGCTGTCCTCCACACTGCTTTTTTCATGTGGAACTTCAATGCCAGCCTGTACTGAGCAACTCCCAGAGGATAAATCATTCTCCAAACACAGCCCATCTGTAGCACTGTTCACATCACCTTTCACATCTGTAGGTGTGTCACACTGTGTACAAGCCTTAACTTTGTCATCTGGCATATCCCCTGTTGAACTGCACTCTAAAATTGGCCCTGCCTTTTCTACCTCTTGAGCTACATCATCACATATTTTCGGCAATGTTGGGTGATCTCTGAAGCGGTCTTCCTCTGGCTTACTCTCCTCTTTACCTAACTCCATGTCCTCTCTGCTTTGAGATAAAGTGTCGTTAACAGGAGAACAAGGAGAATGTTCCAAGGGAAGAAGTTCTACTTCTATCTCCAAAGATGTAGTTGGTGTTTCCTCTTGGACTATTGGTGGATTTGAAGATGGAGGTGTATCCTGCTCAACTGGTTCCTCCACTTCATCTTCATTAGAGTTAGAATTTTGCTCTTCTATCCTTTCTCCATCTTCCTCCTCTTCCTCCTCTCCACCCGAAGAAATGGGCTGAGGGGGTTCTGAAGAACTCTCCATCCTCTGATCAGCTTCATTATCCTGGTCGGCAGGACGCTCTTCTGGAAGAAAGCAAGAAAGTCTGAGATCTTCCAAATCTATAAATTACACTGGAAATGTATGTAGAGTAGGCTGGCAAGATGCAGCGTACAGAGCAAAAAGAAAAACATAATTATCTGTATAGTGTTTAATTAGCCAAGACAAGAAAAACCTTATATAAAATGATTTAAAATGAGGGCATGCAGAGTTTATCATCTTGTTCCAGATCGAAATGACCCTTGTCTCTTATTTGTGACATTCGTACTTTGTGGAAATATTTCCCTGAGCATATGACATCTTCAAAGACAGGAAATAGTATTATAATCTAATATACTCATGGGAACTCCCCTGGCACAGATCCACAATGCTAGGGGAGAGGGTTCCTGTTTATGAACCACACAGTAAACTAAGACATGTATTACCTAAGATGTTTTAGCCGTACTCAGTTAAGAAATAGCTGTACCTCTCAAGGCACCATCAGGGGTTTTCAACTGGACAACCTATTAAAGTCTGTGCTCAGGTGATTTGGTTTGGATATTATTCGCTACAGCTTAATCCCAATGTAGTGTAATTTGTGGACTCTACAAAGTTCTACACAAACAACATGGCTTGCTCTGCGCATGCTCTAAACAAACCCATAGAGAGACAAATAATACACATTACAATGGAGTGCCTAAACTGAAGGGATAGGTGCTGGAATACAATATGCATAATAAAGTTCTAGCATTGTTTAATTTAACACTTAGGACATTCCATCTTGTTCAACAAATAATAGGCTTTAAAGGCAGTTTTTGTGCAAAGATGGTTAAATGCCTGCTCGGGTATCAATTAATACCTGGCGCTTCTCTCTGTCATTTGGACCATATTTACAGACTGCATGAGCAGCTCAAAATGAATGCTGCACACAAACCTCTAAATCACCTTTTACTCACAGTGATTCTCCAGACACTTTCACGCTTACTAGAACCTTTGTATTGATCACGGACGTATTAATCATGTTCGTGCCGTGGGTGTGAACCATATATTGGGTTGCTATTAACCATTTCCTAAATGAGCAGTTTTTGACAGATTGATGTGCCGACTATAGTGTTTATCTCCCCTGTAATTTATATATTATTTTATGCTTAGCCACCCATATATGACTTCCTCGTTTATCTAATATAGCGCAAACCGTAACTGAATTTCATTTATTAGTGCAGCACGTAAAATAACTTCAGGGAAATGTAAAATTGCAAAGAGTTAATCTAATACTATTTCCCAAAACACCTGACCCATATCCCAATCTCACCTTCATCTTCATCTTTTTCTTCTCCATCAATCATCTCTTGAGAATTTATGAGCTCCTCCTCAATATCAGTGTCCGAGTCCTCTTCTGACTCCTCTTCCTCGGATTCCGGAGATGATGGAGATTGCCTACGGCTAGGCTGGTGATAAGAATGAATTCATTATCAAGAATAGAAATGATCATACTAATAACACTGATAAAAGAAGGGCCAGAGATTCTCTACTAGAGAGTTGAATATCAGATCGATCACGAAGGGAACTACATTACAAGAGGAAACTATCCACAGACTTTGCACATCATTTTCATGGGATTGTAAAAATGAATAAAGAAAAGGATAAATCTGTATATAATGGAAAGGGAAATGATGGCTGGTTATCTGTAAAGCAGCCATGACAGAAACATTCTGAAATATGAATAAGAGACAAAGTTATTTGAATGGTCGGGACACTTAATGCCTCCCTCCTGCTACAAGTCACACAATATAGAGAAAATAGATAAGAGCTGAATAGTCACAGCAGAAAGAGACTTTGCAAATAAGAAATCTCTTTATAAAGAATAGATCCCATCACTTGTTTCATACCTCGATTTTTCTAATATGCAAAGTTTATTTTCGGCTTTAACATATGCAGACAGCACTTAAAATTACTTGCTACACATGAAGGGGGGCACTATAGTCACCAGAACAACTAATGTAGTTGTTCTGCTGTATGTAACAGGTCCTTGCAGGCTTTTTAATGTAATCACCCTTTTCAGAGAAAAGGCAGTGTGTACATTACTGCCTAGTAATACCTCTAGTGGCAGCCACTCGGACTAGAGGTGCTTCCAGGGTCAGTATTGTACAACATGCAGCACTGACCTTCAGCAGCTCCACACTCTGCATAGAGATGCACTGATTCAATGCATCTCTATGAGGAGATGCTGATTGGCCCAGAGGTGCGCTTAGCTGCGCATGCACAATAGCCTCCCTCCAAATGCTTTCCTATAGGAAAGCATTGAATTAGCAGAGATTATCAAGTTTGATGATCTCAGACAAAGGGGGCAATAAAATGCAACCAGACCTGCGCGGCGAAAAGAAAAAACTGCTATTTATTCTTATAGTGTCAGGAATACACCTTTGCATTCCTGACACTATAGTGTTCATTTAAAAATATGTTGAGTCTTACTCTGTGGGCAGGCTGGTAATATTTAAATGTTTGAACAATGTATCTACAAATGTTTCAATAGTGTTTTTTTTTGTTTTTTTTAAACTTTTCATGCCTTTGCCAATAAATTACATGTAACATGCTTTGTGCCTATCACTTTCAACAGATTCCTGAGGACCATTTCTGTCAGACAAATTTAAATAAAGTCTTGATCCTTGTGTGGTAAAGCATTGAGAATGTGAAAGCATGGTGTAACTGCACTGACGTCCGGTAGCTCACAAGGTCCATTCATTGGGACAAGATACAGCGTAAAATTACCTGGGAGCTGCTGTGTGCATCACCGCCCTTCTTCTTCTTTTTTCTTTCCTCTTCCTCTCCATCATCTTGCATTTCTGCATATTTTTTGATGAGTTCATCCAGTCGATTCATTGCTACAGAGCGGTTCTCACGGAGACGCCGTTGTAACATTGAATCCATATGAGCAGGATCATTACCTAAAGAAGATATGGTTTTGATACGGTAAAGTAACAGTGGTGACACATCTATCTGCACCTCCACAGTTTTTTTGTCTGACATCCAGAAAATGTTAAAATGGGATTTTCAGAAAATAATAGACATAGAGGACATCGCTGAGCCTTATAACCAACTATAATCCTATGTTTTTCATTTCCCTCACTCGTATTAACAAAGGAAGGTAACGGGAAATTCCCACAGTTGAAGAGAATTACCACCTCCACCCTATGCAGTGGATACATTTTTATGTCTGGGATTAAATGGCATGTGTATTTAAAGATAGCTGCCACTGTGTCCAGAGGATGGTAGCCACCATAATGTACATTGAATCCTGCAGAATGCCCAGAAGGTTGCTTCCACCATTTTTTATTGTAACTACATATTTAAAGGAACACTTTATGTGTAAACAAGTGTGTATTTCTGACCCTGTAGTGTAAAATCCTGCTAGCCCCTCTAAAATAACTAGAAAATTCACATTATTTCTGGCTCCGCCCCAATCTGTCTCTGGCTGATATCGATCATCTCTGCCAACCACAATGCTTTGCCATACTAATGCTGTTGAACCAATGCATCTCTATGGGGAAAGTTCAGCTGAGCATCAGTGCTGCGCACCGTGCAACATTGACCTAGGAAACACCTCTAGCGGCCGTCTGAAGAGCGGAAAGTGTTCCTAGGCTGTAAAGTAAACACTGCCTTTTCTCTGAAAAGGCAGTGTTAACAGCAAAAAGACTGCAAGGCATTCATACAAAATAATTTCCCTTCCTGTTGCAGCAGTGAGACAATGGGAATATCTGCCTTTCATTATTAGTATTCATATAGTGCTAACATATTGCAGAGCATGAATGACTGAGGTGCAGGAAGCAGGGAGCCCTCCCCACAGGTCTGTGTGAAGTAACATCTATATACACTCCCAAACCCATCTTGATGAAAAGTGGTATTTCCAATGGTGGATATGTAGTCAGCTCCCATGACCTTAACGGCTTTTAGAACATTCTGAAAATGTGGATTATCCCCTTCAGGGAAGTCTTCAAATATCGAAAAATTAGACTTTTTAAAATCACATAACTCTATGCTGGCTAAGATGCCCACTAAGCCATGTCAGCTATGCTTTGTTTAACTGTTACAAGATATGCTAAATTTGGAGTACTGGAAATTCTCAGATTCCCCACCACGGTGGTTTAACCCAGAGCCCAGATCACATACAAGGTTAGTCAGTATAGTGTGAATTGTTAGGAGTGAATTAATCCCCTCTCGTAATATTGTAAAGCGCTACGGAATCTGTTGGCGCTATATAAATGGCAACAATAAATAAATAATTACAAATTTTAGGCCAAAATAGGCGAAATGAAAACAAAGCCAAATTGGAGAATTCCTCCATTCGTTTAACAATTTAAAATTCAATTTTAATTTCCAACAGTACACATTTAACTAAATAACTATGATCAAAACTGCTTGGAAATCAAGCACAGTAATAATCATTGGTCAAAATGTGAATAAATGGTCTATAGCGCGTGTAACATCCCACTAGTCAAAATACAAGGTCTTTATAGCGCGTGTAACGTCCCACTAGTCAAAATACAAGGTCTTTATAGCGCGTGTAACGTCCCACTAGTCAAAATACAAGGTCTTTATAGCGCGTGTAACGTCCCACTAGTCAAAATACAAGGTCTTTATAGCGCGTGTAACGTCCCACTAGTCAAAATACAAGGTCTTTATAGCGCGTAACGTCCCACTAGTCAAAATACGTCTTTATAGCACGTGTAACGTCCCACTAGTCAAAATACAAGGTCTTTATAGCACGTGTAACGTCCCACTAGTCAAAATACAAGGTCTTTATAGCGCGTGTAACATCCCACTAGTCAAAATACAAGGTCTTTATAGCGCGTGTAACGTCCCACTAGTCAAAATACAAGGTCTTTATTGCACGTGTAACGTCCCACTAGTCAAAATACAAGGTCTTTATAGCACGTGTAACGTCCCACTAGTCAAAATACAAGGTCTTTATAGCACGTGTAACGTCTCACTAGTCAAAATACAAGGTCTTTATAGTGCGTGTAACTTCCCACTAGTCAAAATACGTCTTTATAGCACGTGTAACGTCCCACTAGTCAAAATACAAGGTCTTTATTGCACGTGTAACGTCTCACTAGTCAAAATACAAGGTCTTTATAGCATGTGTAACGTCCCACTAGTCAAAATACAAGGTCTTTATAGCACGTGTAACGTCTCACTAGTCAAAATACAAGGTCTTTATAGCGCGTGTAACTTCCCACTAGTCAAAATACGTCTTTATAGCACGTGTAACGTCCCACTAGTCAAAATACAAGGTCTTTATAGCACGTGTAACATCCCACTAGTCAAAATACAAGGTCTTTATAGCGCGTGTAACATCCCACTAGTCAAAATACAAGGTCTTTATAGCACGTGTAACGTCCCACTAGTCAAAATACAAGGTCTTTATAGCACGTGTAACATCCCACTAGTCAAAATACAAGGTCTTTCTCCTTACGACTTTGGCTTATCTCATTTACTCTTTTACAACCACTAACTCTTCTCTGCACCTTTCTCTTCCGGTTGCAGTATCTCTCTCTCATGGTTATTTCATGTTTGACCTTAACATTGCATTCTATACAACCACATAAGGATGGTTGTAGACAATGGAAATCAACAACATATTGGAACAGTAAAAATTAAATTAAAATGTTCTCCCTGCTAAAACTATACCTTGGGTAGAATGCTATTCTACCATAATTGTCACTTCCTTAGTGTGGGCTGTACGTTTAGATGAGTCAAATATTCACAGGCAGTCTTGTCCTTATGTCAAAAACCCAATCTACTTTATATAAACTAAGAGCTGAAAAGAAGTTTATGCTCAAAATAAATAAATAAATAAATAAATAAAATAAATTAAAAAATGAAATAAAAAAAAAATATGGAAAACTGCTTAATACTCCTTCATGATCTCACTCACCAGGCTTATAAATATCCGTTAGGTGACACCCAAAATTATACACCAAGTCTAAGTGTCTCCTCTCCTGCAGTCGATTGCCAAGTTCTCGGAAAGCATCCTGGGCCATGCTCTGTATTTGTTTGCGTGGCAGCCCAAGCGCATGCCTATCGCTAGCTTTCTGAATCACTCGCAACACATCCCCATAATCCGGAAAAATATCCTGAGATCCATTGATAAATTTCTCCAGTCGGCGATTTATTTCTGGGTAGCGAGTGCCTCGATAAGGTATCTTCTGCTCTATTACTCTACCAGTAAGACTAGAACAGTTTTTCAGATCACAAAGTTTCTGGAAAATACGCAAAAGCTTGCGTTTGAGTCTGGCCTCCTGTATGTAGGCTGAATCCTCATCTTCTAGCTCATCAAGGCTTAGCTCTCTCTCTTGTAGCTTCTGGATCTCTCTAGAGTATATTCGGAGCAAATTCTCCAAATACCGGATTTGACGCTTAGATCCAGGTTTCCTTTCTTGGGTTTCTTCTTCTTTTACCTCTTCAGGGTTATCATCTACTATTTCCCTACTTTCTTCAAAAGATTGCACACTTGATGAGGGTTGTAAGGAAATTTTGCGTTTTTGTGAGTTGGCCTTTAGGGCTGTACATAGCTCATTTATGTAAACATAAACCTTAGAGCGCTTGTTTTGCACCCTGGTGAGACACCGGCCCAGGACGTTGTGAAACTCAACAGAGGATAGAAATGAAGGGTTGGCTCGGGAAAATTTCCCCCTGAGAAAAAATATGACTTCTGGATGCTCTAAAGTGAGACTGGAACAGTAATCTACGAACTAAAACAGGAAAGGAAAAAGTTAAATACGATCCTATAAAAAGATATAAAGATCAAACACAGTAGTTGGGAAAGAATGGAAAAAATATCACCAACAGTGACAAAAATATTCAAACTACATCACAATTCTTACTTACCTCTTCAAACAGTTTGTTATTTTGTGCACCGAATGTGGCACTCTTCTGGTTGTCATCAACTTCCTTCTTCCCATTACTTTGAGGCTGTGGCTGCTTAGGAGAGCTCTTAACTTTAGAGCAGTGTGGTTTTTCTTCTTCCTCTTCATCATCATCATCTAGGACTATGATGTCATGAACATGCGCCATATTTTACTTCTTAGGAGTCAAGAAATAAGCGAGATTGGCACCAGCATGGCCTGAATCAGGATGTGTATACCAAAGTAAGCCTGTAACTAGAAAAAGGGTAAAAATTGTGTAAATAATGTGCACACACAAAAAGGTACAGGTGGCAAATAAGTGTACAGTGTTTGTATGTGCTCATATATATATATTTACACATACACACACTATATGAGCAAAGGAAATTGGAACACACCTCTTAATTATAGAATTCAAGTGTTTCAATCAGACCCATTGGCACAGGTGTATAAAACCAAGCACCTAGCTATGGAGTCTGTATCTACAAACATTTGTGGTAATTCAAGCGTGGTCCTGTAATAGGATGCCACCTTTGCAATAAGTCAGAATTTGAAATTTCATATCTACTATATGGTCAACTGCAAGTGGTATTATTGGAAAGTGGAAGCGTTTAGGAACAGCAGCAACTCAGCCGTGAAGCAGACGACCACATTAAGTCATAGAGCAGGGTAACAAAGTACCAGGTGCATGGCGCGTAAAAGTCGACAACACTCTGCGTATTCAAAAGAATAGAATCTCTTTGAAGAGATCCAAACTTCCACGGTAATTACTATTACTACAAACGTGCAGCTGGAGCTTCATGGCAGTTGCATGCAAGCCTCACATGACCAAGTACAATGCCAAGCGTCAGATCAAGTATGTAAATCATGCCGCTACTGGGCACGTGTTCTAATCTGTTTTGCAGTCAGATAAGTGGGCCGGGGTTTGGCAGATGCCAGGAAAACATTACCTTGTCTGACTACATTGTGCAAACGTTAAAGTTTGGTAGTGGAGCAATAATTGCATGGGGCTGATTTTCACGGTTTGGGCTAGGCCCATTTCTTTCAGTTATGTGAAATCTTAATGATTCAGGACACCAAGACATTTTGGACAATGCTATGCTTCCAACTTTGTGGGAACAGCTTGGGGAAGGCCCATTTCTATTCCAACATGATTGTGCCCCAGGGCACAAACCAAAGTCCATAAAGATATGGTTGGATGAGTTTGGACGGGAAGAACTGGACTAGCCTGCACAAAACCCTGACCTCAAAACCGCTCAATACCTTTGGGATGAACTGGAATGGAGATTGTGGGCCAAGCTTTCTCATCCAACATAAGTGCCTGACCTCACAAATGCTCTACTGGAAGAATTTGTCGAAAATATCCACAGAAACATTCCAAGATCTTGTGGAAAGCGCTCCCAGAAGAGTGGAAGCTGTTATAGCTGCAAAGAGGGGGACCAACTACATATTAATGTGTATGTATTTAGAATGTGATGTCACAAAAGTCCATGTTGGAGTAATGGTCAGGTGTCCCAATACTTATGCCAATATAGTGTGTGTGTATATAATTAATATTTTTTTCTTTATAGCTAAAGAGATGATATATTATAGATATTCTTTCTACATAGCTACAGAGATTTCCTGCACATGGATAGTTTACCTTTCAGGATCAGTGACTGACAAAAATCAGAGATCCAAGGGAAAATAATGTGAAAATAATGCCAGGGACTGTATGTCTTTTCTCTCCAAAAACTTGAAGGACAGCACTGATCAACAATAACACGTCTAATATGAACTTACAACTAACAGGAGATGAAGTAGAAGACATTAGGGTTCTACAAAAGTCCCATTTTCATTGATCATCTTCTGAATTCTCTAAGAAAAATAGCAAAATCTCATTTAGTATGTTTGTTTTCACAAGATGCCTACATAAAAACGATTCTACTTATTTGGTAACAAATTACCAGACTTATCTATGCCTTAGCCAAATGTGAGTGTAACTCAACCTATTAGTGTGTCTACAATTTGGTGTAAACCACTTGAGGATAGAGGAAACTGTTCAAGTCTTGAACCAAAACAAAACCACAAAAGGGATGACGGGGAGGAATGAGAGACCCCAAAGGGAAGGGCGGGGGATGAGAGACCACAAAGGGACAGGAGATGGGGGAATGACAGACCACAAAAGAACGAGTTGTAATAGACCTCGTAGGAATGGGGGTGAGTGGGGCAGGATGAGAAACCTCAACAAAGGGATGAGGGCTATGAGAAACCTCAACAAAGTGACAAGAGGGAGAGAGGGGAAGGAGTATGAGAGACCGCAAAGGGACAGGGGCGAATGAGAGACCCCAAAGGGACGGTGTGTGTGTGTAATGAGACCACAAAGTGATGGAGGTGTGGGGGGACCACAAGGTGTCAGGAGGAAAAGAGAGAGCACAAGTGGGATGGGGAAATGAGAGCGCAACAAGGGACAGGGCTATGGGGGGGAAGGAGAGACCACAAACAAGGAAAGAGAAAGGGAGGAGGTAGGGGTGAAAGACCACAAAGGGGGGGTGGTGAGACCACAAGGGCCGGGGGTGGGGGCAGAGACAGTTAACACCCTAAAGAACCAGAGGCAGTTAAACACCATAAAAAGACCTGTAAAAAATAACTTAGGTGAGAGACCATAAAAGGACGGGAGGTAAGAGAGAACACAAAGGGAGGGGGTAGGAGGAAAACAAAAAATTACAGGAAGGATGGTAGAACCATAAGTGGGAAAGGTGCTTGGAGGGTAATTTTGCGGAGACTGTCTGTCTATAATACATACATTATAGAGGATATAAGCATGCAATTATTACACACACTACATAAAACCACATATCTATGGTACACACTGTATAGAGGATATATAGTATACAGGGACACACCATGGAGAGCTATATATATATATATATATATATATATATATATATATATATATATATATACCTTACATACACTGTATAGGATATCTAGTATACAGAATTTACACTATATGGAGAGCTATATATATCTATAAGTTACGCCATTTACATAGCGAAAAAGAGACTTGCGTCCATCAAGTTCAGCCTACCTCCCTTTGTTTTTAGCGCAGTCAAAAAGAAGGCAAAAAACCAGTTTGAAGCTTGTTTGCAACAAGCGAGGAAAAAATTCCTTGACCCCAGAATGGCAGTCAGATTTATCCTTGGATCAAGCAGTTATTACCCTACATTGAAAGATTATATCCTTGAATATTCTGTGCTTGCAAGTATGCATCTAGTAGCCGTTTGAACATCTGTATGGACTCTGATAAAACCACTTCTTCAGGCAGAGAATTCCACATCCTGATTGTTCTTACAATAAAAAAAACCTTTCCTTTGCCTTAGACGAAATCTTCTTTCTTCCAGTCTAAACGCATGGCCTCGTGTCCTATGTAAAGTACATACACTGTATAAAGGATAAACGGTATACAGGGTACACACTGTATGGAGAGCTGTATATATCTTTAGCACATACACTGTATAGAGGATATACGGTATACAGGGTACACACACTATATGGAGAGCTATATATATATCTATAATACATACACTGTATAGAGGATATACGGTATACAGGGTACACTATATGGAGAGCTATATATATCTATAGTACATACACTGTATAGAGGATATAGGGTATACAGGGTACACACTATATGGAGAGCTATATATATATCTATAGTACATACACTGTTTAGAGGATATACGGTATACAGGGTACACACTATATGGAGAGGTATATATATCTATAGTACACACACTGTATAGAGGATATACGGTATACAGGGTACACACTATATGGGGAGCTGTATATATCTATAGTACACACACTGTATAGAGGATATACGGTATACAGGGTACACACTATATGGGAAGCTATATATATCTATAGTACATACACTATATAGAGGATATACGGTATACAGGGTACACACTATATGGAGAGCTATATATATATCTATAGTACACACACTGTATAGAGGATATACGGTATACAGGGTACACACACTATATGGAGAGCGCTATATATCTATAGTACATACACTGTATAGAGGATATACGGTATACAGGGCACACACTATATGGAGAGCTATATATATCTATAGTACATACACTGTATAGAGGATATACGGTATACAGGGTACACACTATATATATATACGGTATACAGGGTACACTATATGGAGAGCTATGTATATCAATGGTACACACACTGTATAGAGGATATACGGTATACAGGGTACACACTATATGGGGAGCTGTATATATCTATAGTACACATACTGTATAGAGGATATACGGTATACAGGGTACACTATATGGAGAGCTATGTATATCTATGGTACACACACTGTATAGAGGATATACGGTATACAGGGTACACACACTATATGTAGAGCTATATATATCTATAGTACACACACTGTATAGAGGATATACGGTATACAGGGTACACACACTATATGGAGAGCTATATATATCTATAGTACGTACACTGTTTGGAGAATATACGGTATACAGGATACACACTATATGGAGAGCTATATATATCTATAGTACGTACACTGTATAGAGGATATACGGTACACAGGGTACACACTATATGGAGAGCTATATATATCTATAGTACGTACACTGTATAGAGGATATACGGTATACAGGGTACACACTATATGGGGAGCTATATATATCTATAGTACATACACTGTATAGAGGATATACGGTATACAGGGTACACACTATATGGGGAGCTATATATATCTATAGTACATACACTGTATAGAGGATATACGGTATACAGGGCACACACTATATGGAGAGCTATATATATCTATAGTACATACACTGTATAGAGGATATACGGTATACAGGGTACACACTATATGGAGAGCTATATATATCTATAGTACATACACTGTATAGAGGATATACGGTATACAGGGTACACACACTATATGGAGAGCTATATATATCTATAGTCTGTATAGAGGATATACGGTATACAGGGTACACACACACTGTATAGAGGATATACGGTATACAGGGTACACACACTATATGGAGAGCTATATATATCTAGAGTACACACACTGTATAGGGGATATACGGTATACAGGGCACACACTATATGGAGAGCTATATATCTATAGTACACACACTGTATAGAGGATATACGGTATACAGGGTACACACACTATATGGAGAGCTATATATATCTATAGTACATACACTGTATATGGATATAATGTATACAGGGTACACACACCATAAGGAGAGCCATATACATTCATAGTACACACACACTGTATAGAGGATACACGTGTATACAGGGTACACACTACATGGAGAGCTATATATATCTAGTACACACACTGTATAGAGAATATACGTATACAGGGTGGGCCACACACTATATGAGATTATATACATTCATAGTACGCACTGTATAGAGGATATACATATACAGTGGGCACACACTATATGGAGAGCTATATATATCTATAGTACACACACTGTATAGAGGATATACGGTACACAGGGTACACACTATATGGAGAGCTATATATATCTATAGTACATACACTGTATAGAGGATATACGGTACACAGGGTACACACTATATGGAGAACTATATATATCTATAGTACATACACTGTATAGAGGATATACGGTACACAGGGTACACACTATATGGAGAGCTATATATATCTATAGTACATACACTGTATAGAGGATATACGGTACACAGGGCACACACTATATGGAGAGCTATATATATCTATAGTACATACACTGTATAGAGGATATACGGTATACAGGGCACACACTATATGGAGAGCTATATATATCTATAGTACATACACTGTATAGAGGATATACGGTATACAGGGTACACACACTATATGGAGAGCTATATATATCTATAGTACACACACTGTATAGAGGATATACGGTATACAGGGTACACACACTATATGGAGAGCTATATATATCTATAGTACACACACAGTATAGAGGATATACGGTATACAGGGTACACACACTATATGGAGAGCTATATATATCTATAGTACATACACTGTATATGGGATATACGGTATACAGGGTACACACACTATATGGAGAGCTATATATATCTATAGTACACACACTGTATAGAGGATATACGGTATACAGGGTACACACTATATGGAGAGCTATATATATCTATAGTACACTGTATAGAGAATATACGGTATACAGGGTACACACACTATATGGAGAGCTATATATATCTATAGTACGTACACTGTATAGAGGATATACATATACAGGGTACACACTATATGGAGAGCTATATATATCTATAGTACACACACTGTATAGAGGATATACGGTACACAGGGTACACACTATATGGAGAGCTATATATATCTATAGTACATACACTGTATAGAGGATATACGGTACACAGGGTACACACTATATGGAGAACTATATATATCTATAGTACATACACTGTATAGAGGATATACGGTACACAGGGTACACACTATATGGAGAGCTATATATATCTATAGTACATACACTGTATAGAGGATATACGGTACACAGGGCACACACTATATGGAGAGCTATATATATCTATAGTACATACACTGTATAGAGGATATACGGTATACAGGGCACACACTATATGGAGAGCTATATATATCTATAGTACATACACTGTATAGAGGATATACGGTATACAGGGTACACACACTATATGGAGAGCTATGTATATCTATAGTACACACACTGTATAGAGGATATACGGTATACAGGGCACACACTATATGGAGAGCTATATATCTATAGTACACACACTGTATAGGGGATATACGGTATACAGGGCACACACTATATGGAGAGCTATATATATCTATAGTACATACACTGTATAGAGGATATACGGTATACAGGGTACACACTATATGGGGAGCTATATATATCTATAGTACACACACTGTATAGAGGATATACGGTATACAGGGTACACACTATATGGAGAGCTATATATATCTATAGTACACACACTGTATAGAGGATATACGGTATACAGGGTACACACACTATATGGAGAGCTATATATATCTATAGTACACACACTGTATAGGGGATATACGGTATACAGGGCACACACTATATGGAGAGCTATATATATCTATAGTACACACACTGTATAGAGGATATACGGTATACAGGGTACACACTATATGGAGAGCTGTATATATCTATAGTACACACACTGTATAGAGGATATACGGTATACAGGGTACACACTATATGGGGAGCTATATATATCTATAGTACACACACTGTATAGAGGATATACGGTATACAGGGTACACACTATATGGAGAGCTATATATATCTATAGTACACACACTGTATAAAGGATATACGGTATACAGGGTACACACACTATATGGAGAGCTATATATATCTATAGTACGTACACTGTATAGAGGATATACAGGGTACACAATCTATATGGAGAGCTATATATATCTATAGTACACACACTGTATAGAGGATATACGGTATACACACTATATGGAGAGCTATATATATCTATAGTACATACACTGTATAGAGGATATACGGTATACAGGGTACACACACTATATGGAGAGCTATATATATCTATAGTACATACACTGTATAGAGGATATACGGTATACAGGGTACACACTATATGGAGAGCTATATATATCTATAGTACACACACTGTATAGAGGATATACGGTATACAGGGTACACACTATATGGAGAGCTATATATATCTATAGTACACACACTGTATAGAGGATATACGGTATACAGGGTACACACTATATGGAGAGCTATATATATCTATAGAACACACACTGTATAGAGGATATACGGTATACAGGGTACACACACTATATGGAGAGCTATATATATCTATAGTACATACACTGTATATGGGATATACGGTATACAGGGTACACACACTATATGGAGAGCTATATATATCTATAGTACACACACTGTATAGAGGATATACGGTATACAGGGTACACACTATATGGAGAGCTATATATATCTATAGTACACACACTGTATAGAGGATATACGGTATACAGGGTACACACACTATATGGAGAGCTATATATATCTATAGTACACACACTGTATAGAGGATATACGGTATACAGGGTACACACTATATGGAGAGCTATATACATCTATAGTACATACACTGTATAGAGGATATACGGTACACAGGGTACACACTATATGGAGAGCTATATATATCTATAGTACATACACTGTATAGAGGATATACGGTATACAGGGTACACACACTATATGGAGAGCTATATATCTATAGTACGTACACTGTATAGAGGATATACGGTATACAGGGTACACACTATATGGAGAGCTATATATATCTATAGTACGTACACTGTATAGAGGATATACGGTACACAGGGTACACACTATATGGAGAGCTATATATATCTATAGTACACACACTGTATAGAGGATATACGGTATACAGGGTACACACACTATATGGAGAGCTATATATATCTATAGTACATACACTGTATAGAGGATATACGGTATACAGGGTACACACTATATGGGGAGCTATATATATCTATAGTACACACACTGTATAGAGGATATACGGTATACAGGGTACACACTATATGGAGAGCTATATATATCTATAGTACACACACTGTATAAAGGATATACGGTATACAGGGTACACACACTATATGGAGAGCTATATATATCTATAGTACGTACACTGTATAGAGGATATACAGGGTACACAATCTATATGGAGAGCTATATATATCTATAGTACACACACTGTATAGAGGATATACGGTATACACACTATATGGAGAGCTATATATATCTATAGTACATACACTGTATAGAGGATATACGGTATACAGGGTACACACACTATATGGAGAGCTATATATATCTATAGTACATACACTGTATAGAGGATATACGGTATACAGGGTACACACTATATGGGGAGCTATATATATCTATAGTACATACACTGTATAGAGGATATACGGTATACAGGGTACACACTATATGGGGAGCTATATATATCTATAGTACATACACTGTATAGAGGATATACGGTATACAGGGTACACACACTATATGGAGAGCTATATATATCTATAGTACACACTGTATAGAGGATATACGGTATACAGGGTACACACACTATATGGAGAGCTATATATATCTATAGTACACACACTGTATAGAGGATATACGGTATACAGGGTACACACTATATGGGGAGCTATATATATCTATAGTACACACACTGTATAGGGGATATACGGTATACAGGGTACACACTATATGGAGGCAGGGGATGTGAGGGCGGTGCGGGTGACAGGATTCATTCTTTCTATAAGTCGCTGGAGGGGAATAAGACGAGCACTGAGCTCTGTTAGCGCCGTACAAGCGCCCGGACTCGGATATTACCGCTAGCCGCTCTGTCTCTCCGCTTCCGGTCTGGTGGTTTCCGTGACGCCAGGTTCTCGGTTTCCGCTTCCGGGGGAGGGTGCTGCGCGTGCATTGACGCAGACACAAAGCCAAGGGGCGGGGCTACGATCATTCAAATGGTCAGAGCGCGGGAAGGGAGGGGCCATTCGTCTGGCACCACCCACTCTGAAACATCCCACTACTGGTAGCCAACAGGATAGCTGGTCTGTGGGATAGAGGTAGGTGTGATGCATCATGGGACAAGGCAGCCCACATGTACTGCCAGTAGGTTGACGTCATCGCTCTATAGACAGCCTGTCAAATGCCAGTTAAATTAAGTGGACCACTTACTGTTGTCTCACATATATAATTATTATCATTATTATAGCCAAATTTACCACCGTAACTCCTCCCACAGTTTTTATACTACATAGACAGTAATATACGGAAACGTGAAGATTGTTCCCGATCGGATTGCTATTACTTTATGGAACGTTTCGCCGAATGGTTCACGGAATATCGTCGTTCTTGTGGTGAAATTTGTCCCATAGGAATGAATGGCAAAGCTAGAGTGGGAGCTGCCAAAAGCTGAAATATCAGGACATGATTTCTAAACTGCCACCACTCCCTCATTTTCAGGCCCACCTACACAAATCTTATATCAAAACGTTCAGCTATCCCTGCTGCCACTAAACATGTCAACGGCTAAGCCATAGTCCTGATAGTTTTCACAATATAATCATTTGTTTGCAACTAACGCCGTCCATTGACATTCATTGAAACTCAACTCTAGCCACCTCAAATTTGAAGGGCAATATCTAAACTGCGACTGTGCCTTCAATTCTAATACTTCAGAGACATACTATGCATCAAAATGTAGGTCAGGGTCTTGTGATTCTCACAATATAAAGCTCTTCGCTGTAGGATGTATAGTTAAAATACCACCGTTTGATGATGGCAACCGCCAGTGAAGTGAGCAATTTGGAGCAGTTTGTTTTTAACTGCTCTTCTCGGCCCTATTTGAAATCTATTAGTTCCTGTTGGCAGTTGGTGGAATGTTCGAGGGATTTGAAACCCTGTGTAACAAGGCTGCAATATGAAGATGCTGTTCTATATGTATTAATAAAGTGAGTACTTCGTTATACAGGAATTATTGACTGATTTGTACAAAACATCACAGTGGCAGCAGGGGTAGCTGAACGTTTTCATATAAATTGGTACATTTATATCCCTACATGGCAAGACCACTTACTATTATCTCACATATATATTATTATTATTGAGCAATTTGGAGCAGTTTGTTTTTAACAGCTCTTCTCTTCCCTATTTGAAATCTATTAGTTCCTGTTGGCAGTTGGTGGAATGTTCGAGGGATTTGAAAGATTTGAAAGCTCTTTTCTGCCCTGTTTGAAATCTATTAGTTCCTGTTGGCAGTTGGTGGAATGTTCGAGGGATTTGAAAGCTCTTCTCTGCCCTTGCTGTAGAGTGAGTGAACCAAACTCCAACCTTTCCACAGTTACTCAAGCCACTCCACCCAGTTACTCCGCCCAATCCGGTTGTAGACTACTGGTGGAGGCAAGAACACTTCACACAATTTCCCCAGAAATTGTAGCTTTTCTAGTTATTTCTATTTATGCTACAGAAAAATAAACATTTTTATTATTACAGCTCATAATATGGTCCCTGCATAATTTGCATGGTTTAAAAGTGTAAGAATTGCTTAAAACAACAAACACATAATGCATTTTAGCAGAATTGGGAAATAAATGTCACAGCTGGTCCCTAATCTTCTCATTGCAAATCCTGGAAGCCACATCTGAATGAATTATAGAATCTTTACTAAAGATAAGATATTTACTAAGACCCCTGGTGGCAAAAACATCCTGGGTGTGCTTTTTTTTCACTCTTCTTTTCTCTTTTCTCTCTCTCTCCTTCTCTTTCCCTCCCCACCTCCACTGAGCCGCGGCCTTCGCCCGCCCTCTCACTCTATACGGTCAATGCGAAAGGGCCCAACTCCCCACAGAAATGGGCAAGGGCACTGCGGGAGCTGAGAGCCTTATACATCTCAGTTGCCTTTTTACAAGAAACACATTTTATGACACACAAGCACTACCCACCGGGCTTCCATGCCACCAACCCGGGGAGGGAATGATCCTCTTCTCTACTGCTGTCACGTTCCAGAGAGAAGCAGAAGTCTTGGACCCAGAAGGAAGATATCTGTTCTTGTTACGGGCAAATGCAAATATTACAAGTTTTAGAATGAAATGTTGTATTTCTTAAACTGTGTACTTTGTCTTTAAGAGATATTGCAAACTGACAAGGTGTTAGAAATGGAACATATTGTTTTTCATAACTGTTTCTTTAACCCCTTAAGGACCAAACTTCTGGAATAAAAGGAAATCATGACATGTCACACATGTCATGTGTCCTTAAGGGGTTAAGCAATAACCTCAGTGCATAATATGTTTGCGCCATTTTGTCCCAGACGAATTACAATAACAATAATGCATAAACAAGCTTCAAGGCTATACTACGACTCTTTCAGTACACAATATACTGTGGTAACCCCAAGTTAATGGAACTTCCCCAAATCCGGGAATCTCCCACGACTGTACACTTACGACTTAGTATAAACAACAGATAACCTATTCAGACTTTAAGATGCCATCTTGAACTAAGTCAGGAAAATTTCCATGACGTTTGCACCCTTTAGTTATGGCCTTGTATGTTTGCCAAGTTAAGGGAGGTCCTAAATTGAATAAAGTAAAAGAAGTGTTACTTTTTCACATTTGAACTATGGTAACCCGAAAATGGAGACACCTAAGGTATAAAAAGGTGTACTTTTAAATGTTAAGAAACAGAGGAGAGACATGGAGACAGACGCTGCTCCATCTTAAAATGACAGAGAGGCTGACATGATGACATGTTCAGAAGGGTATGTTAACCTATTAATGATATTTGCAAGCATGTAATTTAATCTTATAAACTCTGCTATAATGGATTTTATATTTTTATATAATAAATATCCAAAAGACAAAACTATTGCTTCCAAGACAATCCTTATTTTATATTGTATTCTCAATTATTTATATATGTTAAATAGATGATCTCTTACACTATATAAAATTATGGCTAAGATATCTGTATGTTTAGCCCTACTAAGTTCTATGCTTTAAGACATTATAGTGGTAAATAAGGGAACCACATGCGGTTACAGAAGGAAAATTTAAAAATACAGAGTAGTAAAAGCACTAAAAGGCATTAGAAAATACAGAGTAGTAAAAGCGCTAAAAGGCGTTACTAACCTCAGTCCTGACGAAGGTGAAACGTGTAGGCGCAAGACACGCTGATGTCACACTGGGGGCGGAGCTTTAATCCCGCCAACTTTCCACTGGGAGTTTTAATTCAGCTATAATGCTTGCTGATCGAGGAGCAGAGAAGGACTGGTACACCAACATCTAGCCTCCAGTATTCCTAACATACGCTCGGACCGGGCTGGCAGTGTGAAAGACATCTCCCTGCATTTGGCTATTTGCCATACCGGCTTGTGTGAGTAGCAGTATCTGAAACCGCACATACTCACTTTCTTTTATCTTGTAAGCAGCTGCCATATTAATGGTTTTATTTGTTTATTTTTGTGCAATAAATTATCTTTTTATATATCCACAAGCTTGTCATACAGACTATACTATTATCTATTCGTTGTACTTTGTTTTTTTCTATGTACATGACTACCCATGGAAATCTTCCTGAGAAATATTAAGTATTCATATGTACATCTGCACTTTATATGCACTATCTGATCTAAGATCACTATCTACCTATCTATGCGCTCTACTTATACTTTGTACCTATAATTCTTCTTGAAAGGCACAATACACCACACACACTTTACATTCGCTAATGTATACCTCTCCAACAGAGGCCAGAAGCCCTTACTCATCAGGACTTTCTCAGCACTGCAATCCTTTAGTGAAGGCACCCTGATACTAGGAGGTGACTTCAACGCCCCCCTGGACCCACGACTGGACACTTCAACAGGCACTTCGACACGAATTTTAGATGTCCGACTGCTGGCGCATCCTGCACCATGCCGAAAAAGACTACACATACTACTCCCCACCCCATAACTTCTACTCTCGTATCGACTACCTTTTCATGAACCACCACTGTCTGGATGACCTACACACAGCTACAATAGCACCGATGACCTGGTCAGACCACACACTGGTCATTATCACGATCACATCACCCACGCCCATCCACAAACAATGGGTTTGGAGACTCAATGAATCACTTCTGGAAGACCTGCTCAAAACGGAAGTACAAGACCAGCTAGAACGATTCTTCCTCACGAACACACCTCTGTCTCCACCCCAGAGACCATTTGGGAAGCACACAAATGTGCAGTACTGGGTATTCTAATCCGCCAGGGTGCTCATCACAAGAAACAACGCTCCAAGGAAATTGCGGAACTCCTTCTGAAAGTAGCTGACCAGGAAACAAGACACAAAAACACCCTAAACGACAACTCCTACATAGAACTGGTCGCTGCTATAGCTAAACTGAACTCGCACCTATCCCACATTCTATGAACATGGCAACAAAAGCAGTAAAATGCTAGCCAGAGCTCTAAGGAAGAGCAGACAAAAGAGCTTCAGAACCAAAATCACATACGAAGGCACTACCCACGCTACACGAAAGTCCATAGCGGAGGGTTTTCGCCAGTACTATGAGTCCCTATACAACCTACCCAAAGGGGCACAGGACTCGGCGACCCGGAAACCGATACACCTACTCAACGAACAACTTATCAAATCAAAAGTCGATGCGGACACCGCATGCTCCATGGAAGAAATGGGAAAAGCCCAGGGCCAGACGGCTTCACTGTCAAATACTACAGTTCATTCTTTAAAACTCTCGCCCCACATCTACTCAACATGTTTAACAAAATCATAGACGGAGGATCTGTCGACCAGAACATGCTGCTAGCACACATAGTAGTACTGCCAAAAGAAGGAAAAGATCCAACAGCATGTCCCAGCTATAGGTCGATCTCCCTGTTGAACGCCGATCTGAAAATACTTGCGAAGATCCTAGCTCTCCGCATCCAACCGATCCTATCAAAATTGATTCACCCAGATAAGGTGGGATTCGTTAGGAATAGGGAAGCCCGGGACAAAACCACCAAAGTGATCAATGTGATACACGCGGCCAGGAAGACCTCAGGGCCCTCACTCCTGATATCCACGGATGCTGAGAAAGTGTTCGACAGGGTAGATTGGCCCTTCCTGCTCGCAACGCTACAACAAGTGGGACTTGGGCCAAAAATGCGGGCATGGATCGGAGCCCTATATAGTAATCCATCCGCACGGGTCTATGTAAATAGTACGTTGTCAAGCCCGTTCCCAATACGTAATCTGTTCTATTTAAACGTCAAGTCAAATAATATATTGTTTAAATATCCTGGCAACACCTGACACATTCATCAGCAACATCATTTTTGCAAGTGGCATCTCATGTTTTAGTTCAAAATAGTCGTCAGGCCACCTGAATCAATAGATCAGCAGATGAGATCCGTTGGAATAAGACCTTAATGAGCCACTGTTCAAAGCGAAATAAAATCTGATTCAAATGTATCTGTCATAGCACCGAGTTTCGTTTATATATTGTGCTAGCAAAGTCAAGCCAACATGTCAGCGTCATCATAGAGGGTCCAGCAGCAGGTAGGTAAGTGTATGAAGCTCATAAAGCAATTCAGTATGTAATTAAAGGGAGTCTATAGTGTTAGGAAGAAAGAACAAAGAGTATGAGTATAGATTGAAGACTAAAGATCAAAAGATAAAGAGGAGAAAAGCGCACGCCGTCACCCATATGTTCCCTCAAGTATCAGCAGGTGCCCTCCCTGATGGTTTGGTCATCGCTAATAATAATAATGAAACCATGGGTACCACATCTCTGCGTGTTTAGCACTTTGTCCAATAATTGCCGCCTGCATGGACTTCACGGACTGAATCTCCTCAACTCGCGTCAGCCACTGTTCTATTGTTGGGGCAAATATTTGTTTCCAGTGGGCAGGCACCAAGGATTTAGCTGCATTAATCAAATGCCTCAAAATGTACTTTTTATATTTGGAAAGTAGCAGAGGTGTTGAATGCGACAGCACATTCTCAATGCCAAATGGGGGTGTTTCACCCAAAATCTCCATCCCTG